AAAAAAATAAAAAAAAAAAAAAAAAAAAAAAAAAAAAAAAAAAAAAAAAAAAAAATAATACTAAAACATCAGAATCATGATGAGTCCGTTTAGGATCCCAGGACTCGTGTGTCCTACACGTGGGAAAAACCTTCCTGACACAAACAGGACAGGTAAGCCACCTGCGTACTCACCGTCGAGTAAAGCTTGGATGCGACGGACAAACATCAGAGCCGATGTGACATCATACACTTTAGGGGGGGGGGGCCCGGGTGTCCCCGACCTGCTCTCCCCTCAGCGGCAATGTCTCGGAGTGTTGATGGGATCAATTGTTTCCCCCTGATCTAAGCTGCTGTAAATGATGCCGCCATGTCGGCAAGGCCTCAGAGCCATGTCGGCAAGGCCTCAGAGCCATGTCGGCAAGGCCTCAGAGCCATATCGGCAAGGTCTCAGAGCCATGTCGGCAAGGCCTCAGAGCCATGTCGGCAAGGCCTCAGAGCCATAACATCAAAGTTTGGAGGATCCCATATGATTTGTTTTTAAGTGTGAAATACAAGCAATTTTCAAACGAATGAATTTTGGTCTTTACATTTTTAAAATTATTGTTTGCCTAAATCTGAATTTCGTACAAGAAGCAGTTTGAGGGCCCATCGAAAGTGTTAGGCATACATTGTCATCTAGGAGAGAAACTTAGTCATCTGGTAGAGCAGCTTAGTCATCTGGGAGAGCTACATTGTCATCTGGGAGAGCTACATCGTCATCTCGGAGAGCAGCTTAGTCATCTGGGACAGCTACATTGTTATCTGGGAGAGCTACATCGTCATCTCGGAGAGCAACTTAGTTATCTGGGACAGCTACATTGTCATCTAGGAGAGCTACATTGTTACTGGGAGAGCTACATTGTCATCTCGGAGAGCTACACTGTCTTCTGGGACAGCTACATTGTCATCTGGGAAGCTACATTGTCATCTGGGAGAGCTACATTGTCATCTGGGAAGCTACATTGTCATCTGGGAGAGCTACACTGTCACCCGTGAGAGCTACATTGTCACCTGTGAGAGCTACATTGTCATCTGGGAGAGCTACATTGTCATCTGCGAACACTTGGGTTTGCTGAAGAAGGTATTTAGCGGAAATGCCTACTTAATTGTTCGATAATTTTTTTTTTTTCAAGACTAAACATTTCTCGTCCCACTCTTCATTTAAGCAGGACAGAATAGTTTCTTGTCTTTTACTCATTAAAATTACAATTGAAAAGATAAGATGTATCTGTACTTTGTAATTTAAAAAAAATTAAATTCATCCAATTCTTATCCTTATCCCACTGACGAACGCATCTCTTATCTATATTACGCTTCTGGTGTGACTCGTGGACTGCTTCCATTTCAGGTTGCTTCCTAACAAGCTGGCTGCTTCCCATTTAGCGTATTTGGTTTTAAGAGTATATTATAAATAATTCTATATGTTTGATAGAAAGTATGGTTCAATAATGAGCGCGCAAAATATAATTCCCGATAACTACGCTAAAGTATATATTTTATAAAATATAACCAACTGCGTTTGGTGCGTAATATTTTCTATTCTGAAAATGAAATCGTCTCAACTTAAGCCTGGTGTAAAAATTATTCGCTTTAAAAGTGGTTGGGACACCAGAATATTTAATATAGTTCATGGGCGTGAAATAAAAAGTGTGCAGTGACGTATCAAAGGGGAAGGGGTTTAGCTAAAATTGTGATTCTTAAATATGCGTTACTTGAGGTCATGTTTTGTCAAGTAGCTTTAGTAGATGGGAAGTTCACACATTGCCATAACCAATGTTAAGCGTGCTATATCTAGTTTTTAGAATAATATATTAAATTTCCCCGTCCCACGTTTATTTTATGTTTTTTTCTTTCTTAAGAATCTACAACATTCAACAGCGTCCAAAAAAAAAATTCTATTTAAAAATGTTTGTTTGGTTTTGCAACTTGACGTCACTTCCTGTTTCTGGAAGCCATTTTAACTTAACTTTTTGTGAGAGAAATAAAATTAAATACCTTTAAAATCCGTAAGTATATAATATTACACACACACACACACACACACACACACACACACACATATATATATATATATATATATATATATATATATATATATATATATATATATATATATATATATATATATA